TTGGACAAGAACTTATTTTCTAATTGTTAAAACAATACACACACATCATTGGGTTGGGTTGGGCAGGGATGGGTCAATTTTAATTGGTAAACTGTCTTGGGTACTTCTGTACCCAGCATAGGGCAGGCATTAGGCTGGAAATATGGAAAAGGTGTGATGGAGTATATGTGAGGGTAGATGTGTGGGTTTGTCGTGATCTGGGAGGTTGGGGATGACAAGCAAGATGTGATGGACTTACAACATGACAAGGTGGATGTGAGAGCTGTGTGAGCGTAAGAGTGAGAGGGTGAGGTGAAGGTGTGGGTGGGTCATGTGGGCTAGGCACAGGGATAGTTGTGAGAGTATTGTGAGTATGGAGGGAGGTAAGGCTGGTCTGGATGTCACTTCCCGCCCCTCACACATTGACTACCTCATCCATGTTAACACCCACAATACTGCCACCAAATTACACCAGGGGACCACCTACCAGCAAATAATGTTCCCAAGTGTTGGGACTACACTTACTGTTTAGACAAGTGTGTTTTCTGTGTCGTACACCCAAGTGTTTTGTGACAGAAAACATAAGAAATCCTCAGAGAGCGACCGCAGCTGCCCGTCGACCCACATCACCGGTCTCGAATATTCCTCAAGTTTCCCACCTCACGGGACAAAACCCACATTTTTAACCTTTACACATCATTCTTGAATGCCACGAGCTACTTCCGGTAATATATTAATTGTCAAAGAAGAGTTCCTTACCTGTAATCTTGACGTATTATTTCCCTGATTCACCTAACATCTGTAGATTCACTGACCATCTTTAGTACTGCGCATAGCTGCTGTTCCTTTCTCCACCCTGCTGGTATTATTACGTTAGTTTTACCTCAACCTGCCCCAATATTTATATATAACAATACTCAGCATCTGACAACAAATTTTCGATGCATGGTTTAGCTCATTAGAATTAGAGGGTTTGGTTTAATAAATGATGCATGTTGAAATATGTTTGCATTTTTTTGGGCGTGTGCTTGGTGGCGGGAACACCATATACACAAGTGATGGAGGTGAGAGAGGAGGACCTGCCACTGAGGCAAACTTCTCCCTCATATTTGTTCACTCCCAAATACACACACACTCTGTCACACTGACGCTCTCCATCACATTGATGCTATCCCTCACACCGACACTATCTCTCACCTACATTGTCACTTACACATCACTATTAGTCGCACCTACACACCCCTCTCATACCTGCACACTCCTACACATACACCCTCCCTCTCACCTGCACACACCCACGCTCGCACCTACAGTCTCTTTTACATACTCTCCCTCACACCTACACTCCTTCACACGCCCTCCCTCACACCTACACACTCCTTTAAACCCTCCCTCACACTTACACTCTCCTTCACATGCCCTACCTCACACCTTCGCTTCCCTCCACACGCCCTCCCTCACACCTACACTCCTTCACACGCCCTCCCTCACACCTACACTCCTTCACACGCCCTCCCTCACACCTACACTCCTTCACACGCCCTCCCTCACACCTACACTCCTTCACACGCCCTCCCTCACACCTACACTCCTTCACACGCCCTCCCTCACACCTACACTCCTTCACACGCCCTCCCTCACACCTACACTCCTTCACACGCCCTCCTTCACACCTTCACACGCCCTCCCTCACACCTACACTCTCCTTCACACTCACACCTACACTATCCCTCACATCTGCACTCTCCATCACACACCTACACTATCCCTCACATCTACACTATCTCTCACATCTACACTCACACCTACACTATCCCTCACATCTACGCTCACACCTACACTATCCCTCACATCTACACTCACACCGGCACTGGCTCTCATATCTACACATCTACCTTTTCCCCTCGCAACTACCTTTCTCCTTTCACAATTACACTATACTCACAGTACATCCTCCCTCTCACCTGTAATCATCAAACCAAATATTTAATTTACTCCAGATCTCGCCCTTATACCAGATCTCTCCTTCACACTAGATTTCTCCCTCAAACCGTGTATCTCCATCATACCAGATCTCTCCCTCTCACCAGATCTCTCCCTCTCACCAGATCTCTCCTTCACACTAGATCTCTCCCTCACACCAGATCTCTCCCCCACACCAGATCTCTCCCTCACATCAGATCTCTCCCTCACATCAGATCTCTTCCTCACACCAGATCTCTCCCTCTCACCAGATCTCTCCATCATACTAGATTTCACTCCTTCACCTCTCCTTCACACAAGATCTTGCTCTTACCCCTGATTTCTCCCTCACACTAGATCTCTCACTCACTCCATATTTCTCTCTTGCACCCCTATAGGGCTTTCTTTATACAACCTATGCAAGGCCCTTTCTAGAATATTTTTCAGGCATGGAAGTTCCACATGAAAAACGCAAAAATTAACACTAGAAGAGATTCAAACATATGCAAGAACAGTCACTCCAACACCAAATATCCCCAGTTTGCTAACTGTAGGTAGTAATTAAGTGACTGTAACCTATCCACCGCTGCCCACTGGATGGGGGGCGGTGTGCAGGGCAAACATATCAATTATGACACTAGCTCTATATTTGTCAGTTGCTTAATTTAGAAACTGTACTTGTGGTCGCCCATTAATGATGTAACGACTTATGCTGAATTTTGTAACTAGCCCATCAAGATTGTAACTTGCTTAGCTAAATGAATTGTGGGGGCTCAGTCCCTGAGCCCATTATGTGACTGTAACCCTTTCCACTACTGCCTACAGGATGGATATGGGTGCATAATAAATGATCTTAACTAACTCCTAAATCTCGCTTTCCAGCAGACAACACGACGTTACTAAAACAAGAATAAACAAGGTTACTGCACCATAGCAGCATATTTACCTGACGGCCACCAGCTATCTATATAGTGACCTCAAATTTACCTGGAGCTATCTATAGTGACCTCGACGAGGACATGAAGTCGCTGACTAGTCAAAGGTCCCTTTATATTGTTCCGGAGGATGTTTTCCATCTGTATATTTAACTGAGTCACACCCTTTTCTGATGTTTGCACGAGATCTGGAATGCTGTTACCTTGGATGGGGTCTATCACATGCTGGTTGAGAAAGGAGTCCTGTACCAGGTCAAGTAATAGTTCTCCTTCCATTTGCAGTCAGGTCTTCTTTTATATACAGCATCACACCATTACACCTGCTCCCATTGTTGTCCTTTCTGAATAGTGAACGGTATCCTGGAAAATGGAATTCTCCATCCTTCTCTCCGCCATTTGGGGTTATAAACTCATGGAACCGCTTACCCGCCGAAGCAGTAAATGCTAAACTATTACTGCGGTTCAATATCTAGGTGAAAAAAAAACATCGAGGAAAAATGGGGGGACCTTATACAAGCCACCGGAACCCGTCGAGGCCACTTGGGAGATGGTGGACCTCAGGTAAATTCATGTAAACATCGCGATTTTTTAACCTTAGTGAATGCGCACATGTAATAATAATATTTATTTAAAAGAAGGTACAATGGGTAGGTGAGATTATATAAGATTATTGGGGAAGTGGGTAGCACAAGGTACAGTGTAAGTTTGAAGCACAAGGTAGGAAGCTTTGAGGATGAAATTAGGTACTTTTTGGTGTTACTTTTGAATAAGGCATAGGCTGGACAATTTTTTAATTCATTAGGGAGGGAGTTCCATTGACTGGGTACTTTTATGTGCATGGAGTGTTTGTACAGATTTAGTTTGAATCTGAGGATATCAGATATATTTATTTTTGGTGTGGTGCTCATGGGTTCTATTATACCTATCAAGGAAAAGTTTCAGAAGATTAACGATTAAAAGATTAACATTTAGGAACAAGATTTTGTACATGTAGATAGCACATAAGAATGTGTGGAGTGAGTGTATGTTTAGCATGTAGAGGGACTTAAACAGAGGGGCTGTGTGTTGTCTGAAGACACAGTTTGTTATAGTTCTGATAGCAGATTTTTGCCGAGGCTTGATAGGCTTGAGGTAATTTGCAGTGGGTGAACCCCATGCATAGATACCGTATGTAAGATAGGGATAGATTAGTGCGTAGTATAACAGGAGTAGAGCAGAGTGGGGAACATAATATCTGACATTTTTCGCTATGTGTTGTATGTGGGTGCTGAAGTTCAGTGTCTTGTCTATGTATAGGCACACTATGTATTTTTCCGCACACCTACACGCTAAAAAGCCTAAGTGACGTTAGAATTTTTCAGTGTCTGAGTAGTTAACAGATGGAATGCATTAGGCAGTGATGTGGTGGAGCCAAATTCTATAGTTTCAAATGTAGATATGATAGAGCCCAGTAGGCTCAGGAATCTGTTCACCAGTTGATTGACAGCTGAGAGGCGGGACCAAAGAGCTCAACCCCCGCAAGCACAACTAGGTGAGTACATTGTCCCTTTAGTTTTGTGTCTTTTGTTTCGGGGGAGGGGGGTAAAGAGGATAAGAGGATGGAGAGGCATAGGTAAAGGGAAATTTAGAAATGGGAAATTACAGTGAGAGTTATGAAAGCTGGCGAGCTGTCCGCCTTGCTGATACAAAGTGTGGGTGTTGAAGCTAAGCTTGTTCTCTATTGTCAGGGAGCTGTGAGTGTGTGTGAGGTTCTTCACATGTATTTCAGTATATATGGATGTCTATAGATTTTGTGCCTCATACGTGCCTCTAAGCTTGCTCTCTCTTGTCAGGGAGATAATTATTATCTAAGACAAATTTTCGCGATTACCCCCACCCATGATCATCCCTTCCCCCCCTCCCCACCACCGGTCCCTTACAGCCCCACCCAGGGACTCCCCAGCACCAGCCCTCCCCAGGGGCCCTTCCCCAGCGTCTCCCTGATCATTCTCTCCCTCTCCCCAAGTCTGACTCTCCCACCCCCTCAATTCTCTGGCCGGGAGACCCTCCCCCCGGGAATGAACCCCACTCTCCCCTCTCCCCGGGCTCGGCGCCCCCCTTAGGCCAGGAGCCCCCCCACCCCCAGTCCACTCCCCCAGGCCATGCACCTCTCCCGGCCATGCCCTCCCCCACCCATCCCCTATCATGTCCCAGCACCTCCCCGGCCACTCAACAGTCAGGCGCCTCTGAGTCAAGATCCCAGTGGTCGGCACAGTACCGGTAAGCAATAGTCCTGTGTGTTATTACTTTCAAAATATTTAGTTATTATAGCCATATGTATAGTTACCAGCTTAATACGGCAACATGTTTTGCCCTGCACCCTGTGCATGCTTCCTAGCAACACTTGATCCTCGGGCAGTGCGAGACGTTTGGGCACGTTTCCTTAAACCTGAATTTAACCCGAGGGTCACTACTTCTCTAGTGGCCTTGATGAGGACGGCATATCTGTTGGGGTCTGGCCAGCTAGAAGTAAAAAGGAACCGTGGAGTTGGGCAACTGTTGTGGGGTGTATCTTCATGGTGAGCTGAAATTGAAATTGAAATAAGTTTATTGAGGTAAAATACACACAAAGGGATGAGGTAGCTCAAGCTATTCTCACCCCATTCAGTACAACGTGTTAATATATACATAGACACACATCACAAATAAACATATTGCCAAACATTCTGAGAGGTAAACATATACATTTCTTCCTTCACAAGGAGTATGTTATCAGACGTACACACAAATACTTTTATGACCTAGGTATACTGTATAGACAATTTGCAAGAGACATGCAGATAATTCAACAAAATATTACAATCTTGGTGCAAAATTCTTATATCTCTCAAGAATATCATCCAAATATTCTCTCAGACCCAAATGTCTGAGAGTATCCGAAACAAATCCGTTTTGTACTATAAATATATATATATATATATAATATATATATATATAATTATATGCGAACAAGCCTGAATGGTCCCCAGGACTATATACGACTGAAAACTCTTAATAATTAAAATTATATAAAAATAATTATATATATATAATATATATTTATGTATATAATTATATATATTATATAATAAATATATAATAAGGGTGGTAGGAGAAGAAAATATCAGTGTTCAGTGTGGATCCACAAGGTCTTCTCTGAGTACTCTTTATTTTTCTTCTCTGAGGCTATGGGTCCCTACACTTGCACAAGAGGTGGTACCCCTTCTAGGTTTAAAAAAAAATATATATATATATATAATATATAATAAAGTTTTTGTAATTATTTGTTTATTTATACAAGAGTTCTTACATTCTTATATAGCTACTAGCACGCATAGTGTTTCGGGCAATATAATATACAATGTAAAATAATATATAATGTACCTAATACAGTAGCCAGAACTGTGGCTATTTGGCTTAGTATGCAAGGCCCAATTTGCTTAACAGGCTGAGGGATTTTTATTTTCGAACATTACTTTCCCGAAATGGTTTATTCCAGTTAATATTATTATTATGTAACATGAATTACTGACTCTGTTATTAGTTACTGACTTCAGCACATGTTAGGTAATGCTAGGTAGTAGGTTAGATTAGGTTTGATAAAAATTTCTATGGTATTTATAACTCAAATTAAATAGTTACAAATTATATATATACTGTACATGTATACAGTAATACTGTATAATGGAAAGCTTTATTTACCTGAGGGCCACCTAACACTAGTGGCCTTGACGAGAACAGAAAGCCGACAGCTTGTCAAAGTTTCCCCATTAGCTCTGATGATCTTTTCCAATTGTATTTTAAAATTTAACAAAACTTTGGCATTTATGGCTTTGGCAGGTAGGCAGTTCCATGGGTTTATAACCATGTGGGTGAAAAAACATCTCCTGTTCTCAGTCCTAGACTGTGGCTTGTCGAGCTTGAAACCGTTGCTCCTTGTTTGTGTCACATCTGTCCTTTTGAAGAAATTGTCCATGACCTAACAGCTCAGTGGACAGCACTGGGGATTCATACTCCTAAGGGTTTGATCCCCCATGGAGGCGGAAACAAATGGGCAGATGAACAAAGATTTGTTTATTTGAAGCATCACGCTATTGGGATTTCTGTGTGAAATGGGCAGAGTTTCTTTCACCCTGATTTCCCTGTTCACTGAGCAGTAAATTGGTACCTGGGAGTTAGACAGCTGCTATGGGCTGCTTCCTGGGAATGTGTAACAAAAAGGAGGCTTGGTCGAGGATCGGGCCACAGGGATGCCAAGACCTAAAATCATCTCAAGATAACCTCGAGATAATGGATCAACATTCTTCGAAATTGTTCATTATGTTAAGTTTCAATGAGATCCACCCTGTCATGCTTGGCTTGCAGTGTTGTTTCTGGCCCTCGACTGTTCCTGATTCAAGAGTTGACTTGGCTCTGGAATGTGTTTTGTTGCCTAATGTTGCACTTTCTCCAGAGCAACTATGTCCTTTTGAAGGTGAGGTCACCGTGCTTGGATACAGTAATCCAAATGGGGTGCACCAGAGAATTATACAATTAAAATCACTTCCTTCTTTTCATTAGTCAAAGGTATGCTTGATTATTCCATGGGTTTGGTTAGCTTTCATGACTGCTGCTCCTACCTGTTGTGCAACTTTAAATGAGTAGTGGATTTTGACTCTAAGGTGCTTTTCTTCATTAATCTGCTGCAATGTAATGTTATTAACTTGTAGTTGTGCTGTGGGTTTGGAATTTTGGAGTAACATCTACCTGTGTTGACTTTCTAAATTGTTATATCTTGTACTGTACTGTATATTCTTATTCCATTACAGTATTGTTTATTTTTATTTATAAATTATAGAGTACTGTACTTACATTCCTGTAAAGCAATTACCACGCATAGCATTTCGGGCAGATCCTTAATCCTATTTTTTCCCTGGAATACTAAATGCCAAATCGTTTAACAACCAGTACCCATTCACCGCTGAATAAATAGGGGCTACAATTAAGGATTGGCGCCCAGTCAATCTTCCCAGGCCAAAGTGCACGCAAAGCGCCGGGCAAGTGCTTTACTACTGCACCACTGGGACTGCTTGTTCCTGTTCCTGATTGATTAGTTCTTCCTGAAAGCTTGTATTTGCATGTCTGCAACTTATTGTATAGTACAGTACTGTACGTACCTGTATATGTAATTCTTATTAATTTAAGAATGGCAGTGCTATCTGAATAATTTAAGAATGGCAGTGCTGTACAGTATAGCCTTGTTGGTTTAAGTTGTTTTATTATTACTATATATATTTACATATCCTGTACAATATTATTTTTATTTGCAGTGGTAAAGATGCATAAGCTTGTGGCTGTGGTGGCCTATTTGGCTATTGGAGCATTAGGAGCCCCTGCTGCTGATGAAATAACACATCTTCCAGGACTCAATCACATCATCCCTTTTCGTCATTATAGTGGATATTTGTCTGGGGCTGAGGGAAAGAACCTCCACTATTGGTAGGTATTTTGTGTAGGTTTATCAGGGATAATGTTTGCAATACATAATGAAAATGGGTTTTATTTTTATTACAGTGAAACCAGGCATCACATGGCCTCAAGATAGTTGTACCTGTACTGCTGTATAATGAATAGGTAATGCATGAATGGAAAAATTTCAGGTTTGTGGAGTCTTCACGCAGCCCTGCAGATGACCCTTTGGTTCTTTGGATGAATGGTGGCCCTGGATGCTCTTCAATGGAAGGTCTTCTGGCTGAATTAGGACCATACCGTGTCAATCCTGATGGGAAAACATTGAAGAAAAATATTTATGCATGGAACACTGTAAGTGACCATTGTCATTACTGCTTATTACAGAATGTTTGAAAATACCTTACTTTTCAGGTGTATTTGTTTTTGTTGTACAGTTTGAATTATTTTGGAAGAAAATTTGTTCAGGGTTTGGAAGGGTTCTCGCATTACAAGAGTGCTCTAAAGTACTGTACAGTACACTACTGTACTGTGAAAATATTGAAAAACTTCAGTCTGTTTCTTGAAAAGGTACTAGATGTATACTGTAGTAGGGTTAAGCTTGAATTTGAAATAAGCTTTTGATTCGGAACCTAGTCCTAGTCCCCATACTAAACAGTATGTAATGTTGGTTACTTTCAACCAATAGTGCCCACTATGTAGTTGTAACATTTCAAACATTAGTCCATCTGTGTATTTAAAAGCAATTTTGAGATTAACTAGTGGTTCTCTAGAGCCGGTGTACTACCTTGAGGTTACCTTGAGGTGCTTCCGGGGCTTAGCGTCCCCGCGGCCCGGTCGTCGACCAGGCCTCCTGGTTGCCGGACTGATCAACCAGGCTGTTGGACGCGGCTGCTCGCAGCCTGACGTATGAGTCACATCTTGGTTGACTCACTCACGTACTACTCACGATCATCCCTTAAATCCTCTTGTGAGAGTTCTTTAGTCTTATTCACGACATTTGTAAGTTGAATGTGATTCTCCTTTTCACTTGGCCTGCACTGATTACCCTTTGTTTTATTTAAAGAAACTCTGGGGGGACATCTTTTCAGTTATTCATAATACTGTACAGTATTAGCAACATTCTTCTCTATTGCTTATATTCATATTTATACTCATTTTGAGTATTTCCAATTTCAGTTATTTGCAGTTATGTTTTACTGTACTGTATTTAATAAAATTTTCTTTGATTAGGGTATTTTACAGTAATTGTGTCACACTTGTTCAGGTTTGTGTTCCAGTCTTAAAATATCTTTAGATCAAGGAAGATATTTTGCTAAAATAAGTTTTCTGTGTTCTATTTACAGTTATTAAAGAGAGTGAATTTTTCCCTGTTCTTTATTTGGTAAGTATGATTTGCTATAAATGCATAAAGGATCCAAGAATTTTTAGAAATCCTTGGATTTTTTAAAATCCCATAGTGACAATTACTACAGTACTTTAGTTCATTGGTGCTGTCAGTATTGTGATGCCGAGTATCTGTATCCCTGCATTAGGCAGCTAATTCACATTAAGCTGGAAATTTGTTTACCAAGGGTGACATTTTTTTAGCACTTGGATACAGTGCATGGACTTACAACAGGTACTGAATACAGGCTCTTATATAAGGAACCTGTACGAGTGAAGGTCTGTCATATATTTTTTACAGAGGTATTCTCACTTATTTTTAAATCTTGTTTCTTTTTATGAAATTTTATCCTTTACAGTATATGAAATTTTATCTGAAGTTTAATTAAACTGCTTTTGTCAGATGGCTAATGTGTTATTCCTGGAAGCTCCTGCCTGTGTTGGTTACTCATATGACTCCAACGGTGACTGCAGTACCGGAGATAATGAGACCTCACTTTCAAACTATCTTGCACTCAAAGACTTCTTCACAACCAAAGTAAGCATTATTTCCAATGTTAATACTAGATATTTGTAGGAACATGAAATAATGTTACATTTGATGAACTCTAGTGATGCACATTTTAATGGTTAGGATTGTTAAGAAAGGGAATGGATGGAAAACTCATGGAAAGTGACAAAGCTTTGTAGCAAATTCTTTTCAAAGTTATTTTGAAAGGCTGTGAAGACCTAATTATTTGTATATACTGTATATTAGAGAGATGTAAATTAAAATATGTTGCATAAGGTGGCATAAAAAATTATTTTTCAAATGCTTAATGTTTTTTTTCTTCCCCTCCCCCCACCAAGTTTCCAGAGTATCGCAAGAATGAGTTTTATATCACTGGAGAATCCTATGCAGGTGTATATGTACCTACATTGGCAGTACGAGTACTAGAGGGTCAAGAAGATTTCAACATTAATCTTCAAGGGTATGCTATTGGCAATGGTCTCTCCAGTTACAAGCTTAATGACGACTCTATTATCTTCTTCGCCTATTTCCATGGTCTCTTTGGTGAAGAGTAAGTATTTTAATAATTTTTTTTGTGATTTTGGGAATAAAAAGCAGAGACTTGGCATTGATGCTTGCAATTAGTTATGAATGTAATGGCCTTTAGTAGTCAATACAGTACTCTCATGATACAAAATCTTGTTTAATGGCTTTTGAATGGGGCACGGTTAATCTGCAATCTCTAGATGGACATTAATATTCCTAGAATATTAAGTGTATTATTATGCTTTTTAGTTTGTGGGTACGTCTTGTGACTCATTGCTGTGAGGGAGGACGTGTTTCAAAAGATGGATGTAACTTCTACCAGACACATTGGCCACTGTGTTCTAAAGCAGTAAGTGGTGATTTAATGCCAAATAAAACACACAAGAACCTTGGCAATCTACCTAACCTATTTAGGTCAACATCCTAGGAAACAATATTGCAGCTCTTTTTTAATTGCACTAAACTATTGCAGTTTTGTAAATGGTGGTTCATAAAATATGGGGATAGGGTAAAATATATCCCTGGTGTTAGTCTCCTATTATTAACATACTGTTTTACAAGTTTTTAGATTCCTCCAGACACACAATCTCCAACACTTCTCTTTAGCCATACATTCCCTCCATGTTTGAATCTTTGACTAGAACAATATGTACTTTAAAAGAATTGGATACCTAACATAGCACAAAATGTTGAAAAACATAATGCCACTTAAAACTTTGAGAGGCTAGACCAAAGCACTGAAATTCGACCTCTGCATCAACTACTAGGCTAGTGTCGAGTAGGACGACAAGAGACAAGTAAGAGTGGGTATGAGAGAGGGCAGTAATGGGATGGGTGTGGGTTGGATTGGTTAGGATAAGAGTACTCGCATAATTTTCTTTCTGCAATTGAGCTTTGGCATCTTGGTTCTACATTTCAGCATTCAATAAAACTGTTAAATAGGTTCCAAAGCCTATTGGGTTATTATACTGTACCTATATTTGAAGCTGTATGGAGTCTGCTACCATTTCATTTTAAAGTGCATTCCATTTGTTCATTACTGTGACTGACACACCCACTTAATTACCTCACATTGTGACCCAACACACAACCACCCCCACACTCCACTTATCTTGGCATTCTTGGGCTTAAACATTTGTGGGGATATCAAGAGCATATTCTGTACAAATATTCTGTACAGCGAACCGACCCTGGAAGAACTCAGCGATGCCCTAGACTCCCTTGCTTCTGGTAAAGCTCCTGGCAAAGATGGCATTCCTGCTGAGACCTTGAAGTGCTGCAGAGGTAGCCTGCTCATGGAGCTGCATGAAATTCTCTGCCTCTGCTGGGAAGAAGGAGAGGTGCCACAGGATATGAGGGATGCCAACATCGTCACACTGTATAAGAATAAAGGTGACAGGGGCGACTGCAACAACTACCGTGGAATCTCCCTCCTCAGTATTGTCGGAAAGCTGTTTGCTCGAGTCGCATTGAAGAGGCTCCAAGTACTTGCAGAGAGAGTCTATCCAGAATCACAATGCGGATTCAGAGCTGGCAGGTCCACCATCGACATGGTCTTTTCCCTCAGACAACTGCAGGAGAAATGCAGGGAACAGAAGCAGCCACTCTTTGTAGCCTTCATAGATCTGACGAAGGCCTTCGACCTCGTCAGCAGGGATGGCCTGTTCAAGATCCTCCCCAAGATCGGATGCCCACCCAGGCTCCTCAGCATCATCAGATCTTTCCATGAGAACATGAGGGGCACCGTGGTCTTTGATGGCCTAACATCAGACGCCTTTGACATCCGAAGTGGAGCTGGAAGTCGTTCACGACTTCGTGTACCTGGGCTCCACAATCTCTGGCTCCCTCTCTCTTGATACGGAGCTAAACAAACGCATCGGTAAGGCATCTACTACCATGTCCAGACTGACAAAGAGAGTGTGGGGCCAACAATAGGCTGACTGAGTATACTAAGATTCAGGTTTACAGAGCCTGTGTCCTGAGCACTCTCCTTTATGGCAGTGAGTCTTGGACACTCCGCGCCCGTCAGGAAAGACAGCTGAATGCCTACCACATGCGCTGCCTTCGACACATCTTGGACATCACCTGGCAGGACAAGGTGACAAACAACAACGTCTTGGGGAGAGCAAGAATCACCAGCATGTACACAATGCTGAAACAGAGACGAATGCGCTGGCTCGGGCACGTTGTGCGAATGGGCGACGGCAGGATCCCCAAGGATCTCCTGTACGGAGAGCTGAGGCAGGGAAAGCGTCCAACAGGCAAGCCCCAGCTACGGTACAAAGACGTATGCAAGAGGGACCTGAAAGCCATGGACGTCGATCTTGCTATATGGGAGACACTGGCTGCAGACCGTTCAGCCTGGAGGCAGTCTGTTCAAAGAGGTCTCTCCAAGTTCGAGGAGTCACTTGCCAAGGAATCGGAGGCAAAGAGACAGAGAAGGAAAGCCGGTAGCCAGGAAGACAGACCAGAATCGGACTTCGTTTGTGCTCGGTGTGGGATGGACTGCCACTCTCGGATTGGCCTCATCAGTCACACCAGACGCTGCACCAGGATTGACAACCAGAACGCCACTCCATAATCTCCCGAGACTGAAGGATGCCTGTCATATACCCTAGATATTTTATGGAAATTATCTTTTAATAAATCTTGACTTCAATTGAAAGTAAAGATTCCCAGTTGCTAAATTACCTTTTAGAGCAGTGTTATGGGAGTAGTAAAAGATAATTATTTAATTGGTAGCATTGGTACTTGCTTACCTGTTACCAATTTCTCATTTTTGTCTTTATTATTTGTCCCAACTTTCGACTAACAAGCAAGGCTTTTAAAGCATTAACTCATTAAGCCCTTCTCACTAAGGTAATATGTCATAGATCTTCATATTCCCAGAAAATGCTAATATGTCCATATCTTCTGTAATGTCTTTTTTTCTCTCTCTCCCAAAAGGTAATTTATCTGCCTAATATTTGTAGTTTGTCTATTCACCTAAATTTTATAACATAATAAATTTTCTAGTAGTCATTTCATATGGCTATACAGTACTGTACCTGCTCAATAGATTATACAGTATTTTATTCCTATGCAGCAACCTTATCACCCTACAAAATCTTGCATGTTCATTTTTAATTTTTATTTCATACAAGCTATTAATTTTTTACTTTTGCATTGGAGGCATAGTTTTGCAATCTATAATGGAAGCAATGTATCAGCCTGTACACAGTCCACAACCTTAACCCACATTTGAAGCTTTCAGAACACAAGTCTTCTTCATATGTATACATCTCCATTTAACTAATGCTATATTGTTTATTTTAACATGAATATGAAAATAATACAAAAAAACTAATGAAAAAGATTGTGTAAACCATATTTTATTACTCTATAAGAGACATTGTCTTGTGTTAACAAACCTCTCTTAGGGGCTAGGTTTCTCACTTTATGCACAAGGTCTCTGTGTCTAGTTTTACCATTCTGGTAGCAGATGATAATATTAATTCAACTAGAGAAAATTATAAAGGAACATGTACTGCCTCTGGTTTATACACAGTGGTGCTTTTCATTTGTTGAATGGTAAAATATATTTGGTTCTGAATAATTTAAAAATATTGAAATTGTATTGGTAATTTTATGGATCTAGATTCACAGGATATAATGGAATATTTTTTCTTTAATACTTTACTGTAATTATAGCTCATTATTTCCCATTTAAGCAGATTTGCTGCTAGTGTTTTTCCATTAAACACAGTCATTCTCTGAATACATAAATTTTATCCTTGCATAATATATCCCTACTTTTTTTGTATTTTTAGGCTTAGCACCTTCACTTTGGATCCACCTTGCACAAATGGCACAAACCTCTTGATGTACATGAATAATCCAGAGGTCCGCAAAGCTATCCACATTCCAGAGAGTGTTCAGAAATTTGAGCTTTGCAGGTAAGTGCATAGTCACCTGCAGAAGTTTACATAGATAATTATAGCATCTCTAAACTGACAAATTTGTTTCCTGAAAAGGTTGACCAGAGCCAATTGTTTCCTCAAATTTAATGTTGCAATATGATTATTAATTGTATAAAAGCCAAACATTTTGATCCTGGATAAAGTAAAAAGCTCCAGTCACGATTAAAGTACTCCAAATAAATTCAAGTTCAGTGTATTTCTTTATTTTTCTTAGTAACAATTAAAATTCCTCCCATAATTCAATTTGAATAAGGGAAGAGAAGGGAACTATGAGGATAAAGCACAAAGCCATTATGACTATATAGCACTTGGAAAGGATCAGGATAAGGATTTGGGATGGGACGGGGGTAAAGGTATGGTGCTCATCAACTTGGACTTGTCTGAATAAGTCCTCTTTTATTTTTAACTTTTAGTGATGAGGTAAATGCCAACTACAAGCGGGAATATGACACAATGAAGCCACAGTATGAGTATTTGACAACACGGGTGCGTGGTCTTGTCTACAATGGAGATATTGACATGGCCTGTAACTTCTTGGGGGATGAATGGTTTGTGGAAAGTCTTGGGTTAAAGGTAAGTTACTATTTTTCCCAATAATGGATCGTTGATAAAATATATATTTAATTCACTTGAATAATTTTCTAAGAAGTTCTATCTGCTGATTTTCTCATCACATAACTACAATGGTAACACTTAAACTGAGAAACAATATTAAAGACAGCAGCAGGAAGTCCTAGGAATGACCACCCACTACTTGATCTTGGTGTTTTAGAATGTTAATTGTTGTTGCTTTAAAGTCTGATATAATTAAAAGTGTTGCTTGTTTGCTTTTTAAATCTATCCTCTTCTATTAGGTACTGGAACAGAGGAAGATGTGGCATCAGGGAGGACAAGTTGGAGGCTTTGTGAAGCGTTTCCAAAACCTTGACTTGTTGACAATCCGTGGTGCTGGACACATGGTTCCCGAAGACAAGCCAGCACCTGCCCTAAAAATGATCACTTCATTCCTTTTCAAGAAACCTTACTAGCATCATTAAAAAATGAATATGGACTGGAGGAGAAGCTGAAAGATCATTGCTAAACTACAGTATGTGATAAAGTTGTGATATACTGTACAGTACTTTGTAATTTATACAATTGTATTTAGATTCAGGTTTGAATGTGACACTGATGTGATATCAAGGAAAATTAAATGTTTTAAGGGTGGAAATAACATTCTGATAGGACAGTGAAAAAGTCATGTAAAGGGGTCGAGTGAAAGTCGGTATATTTCAAGATTGAAGAGTTCATCAATTGTGTGTTCATATTGAATTATTGGATGATAGTAAGAGTGAATAATGCAGTGAATTTGAGAGAAGAATAAGAGGGTGACAAGTATGGTGAGTGAATGTGGGAATGGTGTGAACAGCACAAGAAATGGGGAAGTCAATATGAAATTAATTTGAGTAGGAGTGATTGATATATTTTTTGATAATTATGGTTCAGCATACAAAGTAGTGGGGCACTAATAGAGATGCTTTGCTGGAATGTGATGGTGATGCTCCAACATAATGCAGGTTTGTGCGGTTGATATGAAGTGCTTGAATATCTGAATTTAATCTTCACTACATTGCTCTTTTTTTTTTTTCCTCTTTCCTCCAGACTATAGCTTCTCCACCCGAGGAAACGGGGTGCTGGGAGTTAGTACAGTATTTAGGTTTTTGTGTATTATAATTTAATAAAATTTAAATGCCTAAATACTGTACAAGTATACACATGGTTGCACATTATTTAAAGTCTTTATGAAATAGAATTCAACTGTAGTGAAAAAGTCTTGATTTACAGTTAATTCCTGAGCCTACATGGTTATAAACAATGCAGTCCACATCTGTACTTTAAATGTATTAAGTCTAAACATTTAAACTTGGTTTACATGTCAATGCAATTTCTAGATAATCTCTTTGCAAATTGAGGCTCACCTATATTATATTCGGTAAACATTTTTACCCCAGACTAATTTACGAAGTGTTGAACTTATTTTTCAAAATATCTTTTCTTTGAATGTAGTGAGACAATAAGATCCTTAAAGAAAATCTGGTGCCACCTATGTAGTTTAAATTATACTGTGTGGTGCAGGCATGTACATGTACTGTGTATTGTCCAGGAACAATGAACCACTTAATTCTAGGAGTGGACTGTGCAGATTTTCTTGCCATCAGTATTGGGTAGTTACATATTGGGTAATTTAAATACAAATTATATATATTTTTGTTCTATATATTTTAAATATATATTTTCAGTACAGTATACAGTACTGATTAGAGAATTATTCATTATTAAAGTCATATATTGTGCATACATAATGAATTAAGATTAGAGTAAATTTAGTTAGTCCAAATAAATATACTGTAATGCAATTTTTTTCTCTCGCCTTTTCTTCTAACCCAGTATAGCTGGGAATGGCATTAAGCTTCAAGAGTATGGGTGTCTGAATGGTAAATTTTTGCCCTTTATTCAGCCAGTTCATTGGAGTTGATACCCAGATGACTAAATGTCCAGTAAAACTAATTTGTTGCCAGTTTCTGAAAATTAAATGCAGCAAATTTTGGATGTATCTTGAGGAACCTAAACTGTTTAGTAGCCAGTAAGGCAGTTGCAGTGTGACCCTAACTACTGGATCACAGACCATTGGGTAAGCATTGCCCTGGCTGTGTTGAATCACAGGGTCCATGGCCCTTAATCACGCTTCCATTCGGTTCTCTTTTAATTTCATAAATTATTTAATCCATGTCATAAATGAAAATTGAAACAAAAAAATTTGCTGCATGTTTTTTTTTTATATTTTAGTAATACTATATATCTGCTATAAAAAAAATACGTTAGTGTATATAATTTAGGGCAAAAACATTAGCAGGAGGCTTTTTCCATTATAATACTGTCCCAGTACTACTGTAGAAACTTGCCACTTGAGGGATAATACAGTTTTTAAAAATTTGCAGTGGGAAGCAAATCCACAGTATCAGAGGTCAAAGCTGCACTTGGAGTTAGGACTTATTTGCAGATGGTATCCAATGCTTGCCGCAGCACAGCTAAAGCGAAGTCTGCATCAGCATGTGTAATACACATTGGAGGTTTAATCCTGAAGACCTGAAATAGACAAGATCTAATACAGTAGCTGAAAGGTCTTTTGTCCTGTACATTCTGTTATTTTTATCAGCTCCCAAATATTATTAGCTTTTGACATTGTAAAATTTTACCATTTAATACGGTACTCAAAATACAAACATGTATATCTAAAAGAGAAACCTTTTTTTAAATATAACAAATCAGTTAAATACGGCCATATTTTATGTACAAATTTAAACATCTATAATTTGGATTTGCTTAGGATGTTGGGACCGAGTTCACAGTTGGAGGCAACATGAGAAATAACGGAGGCCTTAGGAAAGCTATCGAGGATATTTAAAACAAAGTTCTATTGTTTTTCATTGTGAGTTGGGAAGCTTTTTCAGTTTTGCTAACTTTTGAGGCTGGGGACATAATAAGCTAGATATATTTAAATTATTTTGCAGACATGTCCATTTTGTAGTTGTCCATTATATTATAGATTTAAATTAAAATTTTGCCAAGTGAAATTAGTCCATAGGACATGGAAAATGCATCCTGGAGGCATCTCCAGTTGCAATGAATCCTTCACTGCAACAAATTGGTGTTGGTCACATATACAGTAGTTCATTGAATCGAGATTGTACTGTACTGTACTGTACTTACATTTCCATAATAGCCTCCTTTTCCCAAGAGGATACCCTGGTCCTTACAAAAGCCAAATATCTCCATCATGGTCTGCGGAGCAAGTGGAGTGCGCAGAGCTTCATCCTCCACCATCTCCACACCAATCATCAGGCCCTTACCACGTACATCTCCCACAACTGGATAATCTTCTCTGAAAATTATCAATAATGTTGACTAGTTATACTTTTTACTATCTTGATCATTCTCAAATAAAGTATATCTAAGTGATGAGGACTAAAGTCAAACGTGTAAACAGTTCTGAAATGTACTGTAAATTTGGCGCTGATAATAAGTTTTGTTGCTTTATAGTGTGTGATCCACATCCAAGCTTAATTATTTATCTTTTGTAAGTTTTATTGCAATAGTATACATGGGACTCTGGTACAGATTTTGGAAGGAGGGTGTTATTACCTAAATGTAATTACATTATAAGAGCTATGCTTGTGGTGTCCAGTCTTCCCTATGATCTTTGTCACATGATTTAAATTGCTGATAGTTTTGGCATCCACTACTGTACTATTACTACCACACTCAAATTGTGCCAATTTTCTGTGATCGTTCACAAAAAGGAGAACTTTATGGCATCTTTTTGGCAACTTTGCTTTTTAATTTCGAGTATGGAAACCCTTGTTCTAAACATTACAGGTTTTAAAAAGTATCTCCTTGTCAACTTTGCCAATTTCTGTTAAAATTTTACATGTGGTGATCACATGTCCTCTCTTCTATGTACTAGTAGGCACTATGGAGTTGCGGTCTGGAGTGGCCTCTCCAGGGCACAAAGCCAGGGTAGGTCAATATGGAGATGCCACCCAAGCAGCAGGTCCCCCCTTCTCCACGGCACAGAAAGTCTCCAAAGGAAAGGCAAACGCCAATACGATTGGTTCCAGTGCCATCGCACGAACTGTCAGAACGAGGTTAAAGGCAACAACGAACTGTCTCAGGGGCTCCAGCTCCAGAGTTAACCTCGAAGTTGGTAAAAAAAAGGCACAGGGACTCTATACCTGGAGACTGCCGTGGTCCGGGCCAAAGAAGAACCACCCCAGCAAGGGCAAGAGCGACCCTAGCCTCCCGAAACAGAGCTAGGGCCGCGTGAGCCCCAGGAGGTGGACTTCCGAGCCCCGCACTTACGGGTTCCAGACAGAGATCGTCACGGCCCCCTTTCACCCGAGGCCGGCTTCCTTCAAGACCAAGCAGAAGGAAGAGTAATAATTAGTAATTACAATAATTATTATTATAATTATTACTATAATAATATAACTAATAATTATTACTCTTCCTTCTGCTTCGGGTGAAAGGGTGCTGTGATGATCTCTGTCTGGGACCCGTAGGTGCGGGGCTCGGAAGTCCACCTCCTGGGGCTCGTATGGCCCAAGCTCTGCTTCTGGAAGCTGGGGTCGTTCTTGCCCTTGCTGGGGTGGTGGTTCTCCAGCCCTGCCGTGATCGGGGCCGGAGTACTTAGAGCTATGTATTAGCTCTTATATATTAATGTCTCTAGTCTTTCCTCAG